TTGCCAAGGCTGAGGGGTTTTCATTTTGAGTGCTGTCTAATAACAATATTTTATTTGGGAATGCAGAAGGATCCAACATGTGACCTGTGCAGGCTCACTTAAGGAGCCAGAGTTGGCCACAGTTCTATAATAGCCTGTAATTGCTATGTGCTGAATTTGATGATAAAGTGCCAAAATAAAAGAAATGTATATTAAAATGAGTTCACCGGCTGAGGGGTTTTCATTTTGAGTGCTGTCTAATAACAATATTTTATTTGGGAATGCAGAAGGATCCAACATGTGACCTGTGCAGGCTCACTTAAGGAGCCAGAGTTGGCCACAGTTCTATAATAGCCTGTAATTGCTATGTGCTGAATTTGATGATAAAGTGCCAAAATAAAAGAAATGTATATTAAAATGAGTTCACCATGTGTCCAAGTCAGCTAAATACATTCTCTTAGAGCTGTGCAAGAAATAAGTGTTAGCCAAAGTGCATTAGCCAAGCCCTTTGCAAATGATAAAAAGAATATGGATCTAATCCTTTCCCAAAACTACATGGTTGAATGGAAACAAAGGGAAGACTTTGTGTTCCATTTCCTCTATACAATAGTATAAAACCACATTGTCTTAATTCTGAAAAACAAATAGCTGGAAATTGCATTTTTACAGGAAGCTTTATACATCCTGTTTATCAAAGTGTTCAGCTTTTAATGAAAACCTTGTGGGAGATTTTAGTGCAGAAAGAAGTCAGAATATTCCAATAGTAAAATGATGCTTCATGCCATTGTGAATTGATAACTCAAGCATAATATATTAGGTTTCAAAATTTAATTTTAACATTAGCTAACCATAAGTACCCTGACATAGGAACACAGTTTGGAAAGGGCTGTGTTGTGTGGTCAAATTTTCTCTCCTGTGGGCACCCACTTCCTACCATCCCTATTTATTAAGCTTTATTCTACAAGTATACTCTTTTAGCTGCATTATTTCTCCATAATGATAACTCTAGAACCTCACAGGTATATTCCTGAGACTAGCAAACCTGTGGACTCTACTGATGCTCGAGAAACTTGATAGTTTTGTTTTTCCCTCTACTTAAGAAAGCTGCCAAGAGTACCAATTTCATTATGCACCTATGGCTTAAGAGAATATTTAATTTGCTAGACATAACAAAACCTTCTGAGTCTGGGTTGGGTTTTTTTTCCAGTTTGTTTACATATACATCTATGTGTACATGTATCTATACATGTATATATATATATGTATTTACCCAAATATAGTAAAATCCTGGCAAAAATCCAGAAGCTGTAGTTTGAATCTACCCCCTTGATTCATTGAATGGCAGTTTGGGACTGGAAGATTGTGCTGAGAAGGAAGCTTCAGAAAAGTTTAAGAAGAAAGCTTGTTTTAACATACTGAGCCTTTATTAGGTGGGGTTCTCATGCTGTATGAGTGAAGCTGAGTAGGAATGCTGATCTCAATCCAGTCCATCCCCTATGACCACCTCTTTGCTTTAAGTTCCCTTCTCTAGTTTCAGTAAAACAGCAGCTGGAGAGAATCATTAATTTATTCTTAAAGAGATGGTTAGTCCAGCTCAGAATGATCTCCCTCTGTCCTGAAGCCCATTAAGTGGCCATGGAAGGCAAATACACTTTACTCCTCTTCTGCTTGGCAGTAAGAGGTTCAACAGTCCCAGTCAGGCAGCTGATCTATCACCAGAACCATGGACTGACTGATGTTCACATTCAAGGAGCCTGCAACTCACTCACTTGATAAATGAATGGTATCCCAAGCCAGCCCTTCCTCCCTCTTGCTGCTGTGACTGTCAGACAACTTTAAAAGCTTTTCTTTGGCTGGAGAAGCTAAACAGAGTCATGCTTCTTAGGGAAAAGTTCTGCAAAGGGCTTTGCCCTGGGTGGAGGAGGGACAGGTTTCCTTTGATGTTGAGCAGCTGGCACTTTCCAGGTGGCTAAACTTCAAAGGCAAGTGTTAGGATCTTCCTCCAACCTGGTGCTCAGTTCTTTGTAGATAGCTAGGCTCATTTAATGTTTCACTTGGAATGCTAAACTGGAAGTCATAAACTCCAGATGGCCTTTCAAATATGCACCTCCTTCTACCTGAAAGGGACCTGGCTGCCTGCAGAGCATTGTCGAGGCAGGTGGCACCTCCTTCTGAGCAGAAAGAATGTACTTTCAGTTCTGCCCTCCCTTGATCCCAGTAAGTCACATTGCTCCAGTTTCTCCTTAACCTCTCCACCTGTGAAACAGGCGTGTTGGTATTTCCCTGGCTGATGGGACCACTGTGAGGCTGCTTTTTCTGGAATGCAAACACAAGCTTGAGCTCAGCAGTCAATATATAATCCCAGGTTATTACCAATTATTAAAAGCTGCCCCAAATGGTCTGGCTCCCTTGGGGCCATTGACAAGAGCTAACAGCTGCAGCTGCAAGTGAAGGGTTGGTAAACTGGTTTGCTACAGGATCATAGAGCAAGTAAGGAGTCACATGCTACTCATCTCAATTTTTTGAACTCCATCAAAACTATCAAATGCCCGTGGCAGCATCTCTATTACCCTTTCTAGGAATGAACATGGGCTGGATTTTGCTATAGCAAGTTTCCTTCTCCCTGATACAGAAGTTTTTCTGGCTGGTGAACCAGCTGTCCCTTTCAGGTCCAATATGAAAGTCAGATTAGTTGAGTCTGAGAGTGAGCCTGGGGTTAATGTCATGATGTACTCTTCCCTGCTATGAGAGTTCTGTGCCAAGTCTTTCTGTCTCCTTGTCTGATCAAACTCTCAGAGATTCTTCTGGTATGCAGAGGGTCTCCTTGTTTGATAGGATCCACAGCCTCGTTCACTTTAAGAGGCAGAAAACAAATTTGGCTTAACAAAGTTTCCTTCTTTACTCTAGACAAGAGGCAATGCTTAGGATTACCATGCAATCTAACTGCTCATGAGCTACACAGTTTCTCCTCTGTTATGTATTTTTACTCTCCATAATGTTCATTCCTTTTCTGAGGCCACCCATAAATATTAACTTGTAATTAGCATCCACATTTGGTAAGAGCAAACTACATTTGATGTTATGAAAGAAAAAACAAGTTTTCAGGCACCCATTGCACATTCTGCTATAAACTAGTGATGAAGTTTAAGATCCAATGTTCTTAAAACTCAACATGCTTACAGAGCTTCTAAGATGTTTGTGTCTAAGCAAAGAACATTCCTAAGTTTTCTTTTGAAAAGAGACACATGGGAAACTAGAACACCTGGTAGCAAACTCATTATTGTTAAAGCTGAGTCAAAAATAATCTTGGGAACTCCCTAGGTTTAAAGGACTTGAAGGTATTAATTCTATTTTTGAATATGTAACCACAATAATTAGTCACTGAGTCTTAATCTCATTTATTCTGCCACCAAAAAGTGATTTAGGGCATACCTGTGTCTCCTCCCATCAGCATCCTGTGTGTTGTATCTGCATTCTCTGTTTTTAGGGCTGAGACTCTGCAGTTTACTCAGGGTTATATAGTAGCCTTTGCAGAATTAAAGCTAATGACAATTACACAACCTGTTAAGTATGTCAGAGATGAGGTAGGTTGGATATTAGTTAGCTATTTATAGATAACAAACCTTTTTATCTTTCACTGTTTTAACAAAAAGCCAAACTTCTTAAGATTTCAGGCCTAAGGTTACAATGCAATGCAAAAATCAATAATGGGATGTAGGAGATCTTTGAGATAAAAGCATGTTGCTAATAGAATGTATATAGAAGTGATTAAAAAAGCAATCTTGACCATAATATCAGGGGTTGCATCTTCCATTATATCCTATTATGTTGAAAAATCCGTGCATATCTATGTGAGTAATTTGTGACTTTGAAATGTATGTGTATTTAAATGCACCTTTCCTATCTGAATTCTCTTTCCAGCCGAGGTTTACCCCAAAATGTATCACACATGCTTTTTTTTGGTGACATACATGGCACCACTGTGTCTTATGGTGTTGGCCTATTTGCAAATATTTCGCAAGCTGTGGTGTCGCCAGGTAAGTCCCTTAGCACTGGCTCTGTTTGCTTGCTCTTGTGCAGATTGCCACGTGCAGCTTTCTTCTTTATGAGCTCCATGTTGTCACTTATGCCTTGGATTTTTTGCACCCACCCCTGTGAGCAGGTTCAGTGGCACTGCTGCCTGACACCCACCTTGGATGGGCACCGAGATGCATTACAAAATGAAGGGAGTCAGGCAAACCCCTTCTTGCTCACGTCTGTGAAGGGCTTAGAGCCAGAAAGAGAGCAAAAGGCAACAGAAAGATTGATTATAGGCTGAAAAAAGCTTTTTCCCTTTGTATCTGAAATGCTTACTGAAATACCTTAGGTGGCCTTATACACGTAAAATCTCCTGTAGCAGTCAAAAGTTAAGATTGACCTTCTCATTTTGTAAGTTTTGTTTTTCTGTTCCTTTCTCAGGTTGGTAGTAGGTCCAATTGGAAGCAAAGTTAGCCTAGAAGGTCCAGCTGTCAGAACTGTGATGTGAAGGTGGCTGTTAGCACTAACATTTGATTTGAATTGCTGGCCAGTAATTGACATGATTTCTAATGTAAAGATCTGTTTTCAACTTCAAATTCAGACTTCAAATTAAAAATACAGGAAAGATAACAGAAATACTAAACAAAAAAAAAGCATAACAAAAAACAAAGGAACAAACAAAAGGACAAAAAAACCCCAAAACAAAACAAAAAAGCCCAAGCAAACACACAAAGAGCATTTCAATTTAAGTGGCAAAAGTTATGCAAATTTTTTTGGGAATGTTTTTTACTCCTCCTGAAATTCAAAGTGGTGTCAGTTGAAGAACAGTTTTTTGGTGTGAACTGCAGTCTGTCATGAACCAGTTTATGGTGCTCTCTGCTGTCTTCTGCTTTGCCCAGGATTTATCTGTAGCTGTAGTCCTCTGCCACCAGCTGCTCTGTCATTCTGTAAAGGACAATAAACTCATCCTGTTGGAGACAATGCAAGATATTCCCTCTCCTGCCCTCTCAAAGGGCTCTAACAGTGGCTGACATTTCCATCAACATATAGGCATGAATATTTTCTCTCTCACCACGATGTCTGATATGCTCCAAATTTGAGGCTGTCCTGGGCAGGGCATATCTGCTACATTGTGACCATTTTTCATGCAGTTCACATCAATTCATCAGCAAAATCATGAGCTGACTCGAGATTTCTAAACATGCATCTGTTAAAAATAAAAATCAGACCTCGTACTCATAGCATATATCTCTTGCAAATAACAAAAGCAGAAGAAATACCATATCCTCTTTAAGCACTGTGTTACCATCCATACATCATAACAGGTTTTCTTTGGTTAGTTTTGCAATTAAGCTCAATCTAACATAGCTCTAATGTGCTGCTTTGCTGAATCTGCTCTGTATCCTCCAATGACCTTTTCACCATATTCCTTCTTAACCTTTTCCTCTATACATTTTTACAATCTACCTACAAAATTTAGCCTTGAGAAGAGGCTCAGGGGTGACCTCCTGGCTCTCTCCAACCTCCCAATAGGGCTGGAGGGAGGTGTGGGATGTGTGTCCTGCCAGGGCTGCAGGGAGAGGAGAGAGGGAATGGTCATAAACTGAGATAGAAGAGAGTCAGATTAGATGTGAGGAGAGATGTTTTCCCTGTTGTGGTGTTCAGCACTGGGATATTGCCCAGGGAGGTGGTGCAGTCACCATCCCTGGAGGTGTTTGAGGTGTCTGATGTGGCACTGGAGGATCTGGTTTAGGGTTTAGTGGTTCCAGCAGTGACAGGTTAATGGTTGGACTTGATGCTCTTAGAGGTCTCCTCCAACCTTGATGATTCTACGATTCTATACTTACTCAAGTTCTTCATTAATTAATTGTTCTTAACCTTCAAGTAGCTTGAAAATGCTGGTTCAGATTCAGAGCAGAAGCTGAATGACTGGAAACCAACCTCTTATTTTTTGAGTTTCCACCCTCCCCCCACAATTAATGTGCTGGTGAAATTAACTCCATCCCAGCCAAAACCAGCACATTATATTGGCAGGCGTATTTCTTCTTCACATTTCTTCTCCCTATATATCTTGCATGCTGCCAAGGTTAGGACAATCCTCTATTTTTCAGTGGCAAAAAGACAAATACTACTGCAGGCTTAGTGCTCTCAGTGGTGCCAAATTACAGATGTCTCTTTGCCTGGCATAGATGATAGCACTATGTACAAAGAGGCTGCACTAAGTGAAGGTAAAACCACTGCACATCTATTATCAGCTGTGCCTTGGCTGCAGGCACCAGGCATTTTTCTAAGTGCAGCAGGTGTGCCCTAATCAGTCATGTGGCACAAATGAATGCAGTGCTCTAAAGTATTCTTTGATAATAGTTTCAATTAAGAATTCATGCTGTTCACCAGGGATTCACTTAAATGTAGTGATCCTATTGTAAGGTACAATAAGCCTTCCAGATGTATGTGATAAAAAAAACCAAAAACACAACAAACAGTAGATGCTTTCTATGCCTTACACTTTTTCTAGAGGTTGTTTTTTTAAAGCATACTGTGTTGTACTTGAAAATTTTCAGATATATAAAGGCAAGAGATTTACAAGTTATCATTGCTGTACTCTGTGCAACAGTTGTCAAAATTGTTGATTGTGTATTTCAGGAAAATCTTGGACTATAAGCTTTAGAGTCTTTGAATTCATGATTCACCTTTGTAAAGGCAAGAAAAATCAAGCAACAAACACCAGGGATTTTGAGCAATTTAGTTTAGTTATTAGCAAGGAAGTAGTGATGTAGAAGACTCTGTTCTCTTGTAGATATTAAGTAGATTAGTAACTTTTGAAAGATAAATAGGACTGAATGGACTTAGGATGAAAGTGTTGATGCATAACTTGTTTTATCAAATTCCAAATATGCTTCAATTTACTGAAGTCCAAATGCATTGACACTAAATCCTGCTGCTATTAAGAACTAGGAATTCTACCCATTTTCATTTATTGGTTAAAATAGATCCTTCCAATCTTTGCAAGTTGATAAAACATTTGATATAACATCCTCTAGTTATAAACCCCTTGATAATTACTCTGAGAGAAAACATGCATAAGAAAATAACTAACTTTTAGTAGCTGTTTGGACACAGCTAATTGGCTTTTACTAAAGCATTGGAATTCCATGAATTCTCCACAATTATCTGTTGTTGTTTAAAGTCCAGGGATACCTTAGTGAAAAATAAATGTTGTAGCATATCCCCTGTTCTGCTTCATTGATTTCCTGTTCATTGCAAGGCATCTTTGCCCAAACGTCCCAATAGTTGTAAATCAGGATTGATGGTGCATGTAAAAGCTAAATTAAGGAAGAGAATCCCAATAGTTGTAAATCAGGTTTGATGGGGCATGTAAAAGCTAAATTAAGGAAGAGATTAACATGCCAAAAAAACCCAACCAACAACCCAACACAAAACCAAACCAAACCCAAAACCCAAACCAATTAACCAAGCAAAAAACCTCCCATAGACAATGTGAATATTGCAGATACTTTTAAACCTATTTTACATGAGACTAGTCACCCCCCACACAGTTGCACTGTGCACAAATAAAAGGATTTCACACTGTATAATACTGAAAACATTCTAAATGTCATTGTAATCGAGTTCTCTGAGAAAGCCCTTGCCATCTGTAGTCTTTCATATTTGGCTGCAGGCAGGAAATTATTTTGAAGAGCAGAAGCAAAATTGTTTTATTTGGCTTTTTTTATGTGAGGTCACAGAAAGCAAAAATCAAGATTTTTGCTATGTCTACCCATTGCAAAATGTCTTTGACTAACCTAATTCTCCCTTGGCACTTTTTCATGATTCCCCTCCATTCATCACTGTGTATACATTCAGTTTTGAAGAACTTTGCAGGGATCTACACTTCAGCTGTGATTTCTTTAGCTACTTCATTGTCATCTAGGTTGCATAGCTGGAAGTTTTATGGCACTTAAAGCTATGCAGGCTTTAAATCCTTGTTTTACGATGCTGAAAAGCTGATCAGTATCTTATATTAGCAGCATATTAATGGGATTAACTCCTCTGCAATACCACAAAACATTTAATGTGGAACTTTATAGTGACATAATTGCAGCAATAGGGTTGGTAAATGTGCTAGTCTGAAGAGAGAAGCAAGGCAAGGTATGTGGGAAGTAAAGAAAACCTGAGTGCATCAGTTGATATATTTGTATAAACCACAATGTTTTATGCAGCCGTAGTGCATCTGAAATGGGTTTGATTCTTGCAGCTACTTCATTAATTTAATTAAGCCACCAAATTTCTCCCTGTGAGCTTACATTGTGTATGTCAACATGTCTAGTTTTCTTGTTACACCTACACACAGTGCTAGATTTTTTCAAAATGCCCCTTATTTTGTCTTCCTTAGATCCCAGGAACTTCTTCTGTTGTTCAGAAAAAGTGGAAACCTCTGCAGCCCTCAGCACAGCCCCGAGGGCTGGGACAATCAACCAAGTCAAAGATTAGTGCTGTGGCAGCTGAAATAAAACAGATTCGTGCAAGAAGGAAAACAGCACGTATGCTAATGGTTGTCCTCCTGGTTTTTGCACTTTGCTATCTACCAATTAGCATCCTCAATGTCTTGAAAAGGTAAAGTTTATCCCAAAATGTAAACAGTTTGGTGAAGCTTTCTGCCTGAAAACAATCCTCTGTTACAAGATTCCTTTTATTCTGGCAGATACTTTTGGAGGAGGAGTGTCCTTATTGCGTGGTAAAGAAATGGAAACTAAGCCTACGGATGCAAGAAAATATTATCTGTAACCTATCTGTATTACTCAAACTAAAGGCTAGATTGTGGAGCCCTTATTAGCAAGCTCTTTCTCATTAAAATCTTCTAGCCTATCCCCTCATTAGAGCTTGTAATTTACATGGGATTAGAGCTTGTTGGCTGTAAATGCACCCATGGAATTGCAGTTATCTAAACCAGCAGCTGAAGGTTAGCAGCAGAGTGGAGTGTTGTGACTTGGCTCTGAGGACTGTGAAATGCTGAGTTAAAACCTAAGCCCCTCGTAAAATTTGGACACCTTAGGCTAACCCTTCAGTTGGTCTTGTGAAGTTTTGTTTTACCTTTTCATCCTTTTCTCTCCTGTGTGTTTGGTACATAGTTGTGTACACTCTTGCTTTTTGGACAGTGCCTGACAGAATGAGGCTTTGGTAAAGTTCCATCTCATGAGCCCTCTGGAATACCAATAAATAATAGCATATAGCAGAAGATTTGAATATCCTAAAATATAACCCACCTGTTAGTGGTGATATTTCATTGGAATGTTATTGGAACCTTTTAAGGAATAGTTTCAAGCTGGGTATGAAGGCTTCAATACATCCCACTCAATTTTGGCCCTTTCCTGAAGCCTAATTTAAGTACTTTTCATTCTCAAGTCCCTTTGTAGGAAATGTGGAGAGAAACATGTGCTTCCAGAAGGTGGTTCAGGCCACCTGCAACCTCGACAATGCAGAATAGGCCAAGAGTTAGATTTGCACTTGAATGGCAAAAGTGTGATGTAAGGAATCTGGGCAATGCAGATTTCTCTGGAGGACAGAACGTGCTACTGTGACCCCAGTTTTAGGGCCAGTTCAATGCCTTTTCAGTTCCAGAGTCCCAGTTTATTGGAGAGTGGGTGTAGAGATGGGAACCTCAATGACATGTGTGGATCAAAAGTAACTTTTGCCATCTTTTCTTAGCTTATCTGACAGCAGATGACTTTGGTTACTCGGCAGAAAAATTGTGCATTTGCATTATAGCAAAGAAAAGTACTGATGGTCTCTTGTGCTAAACCAAGACAGGAGGCTGAGGGTTGGGGATGGGACTTCATTCTCTCAAGAAAGTGAGGACTGCAGAATCACCTTTTCTGTGACACTGCAAATAGGTCATTAGAGATAAAATTAGTCTAGAAGTTGTAAAATCTTTTTATATGCTTTCTAATTTTGCCATCTTTCAGGTTTGCTTTTCTCTTTCTGTAGGGTTTTGGGGATGTTTAATCATGCTGACGACAGAGAAACCGTATATGCCTGGTTCATGTTCTCACACTGGCTGGTGTATGCAAACAGTGCAGCCAATCCTATTATTTATAACTTCCTCAGTGGTAAGTTATAGTTACCTAAAATTCAAGCTTAATGTATAGTTTGAGTGTAATGAGCCTTAGCAAATAAGATTAATGACTCTGTAACATCAGCTCAGCTCCTCTGGTGGGAGCTTGATCCTCTTCTTGGAACAAGTTGCCTGAAGTATCCCCTTACCTTCAGGCTATCTACCTCTAACTAATCTAGACAGTGCCAGGGCCTGAGTCCAAGTGTTTGAATGTGACTGTCTATGACATTAATTTGGTAGAGAAGTTCCTGGCATGACTTTGATCTGCAACAATTACCATTACCCTGAACACTCCCTGGATACTCTCTGGGAGGTAGCACAGTCCAGGGGCTGTCCCCAGCTGGCATGTTATGTGCAGGTACTGGGGTTTGGAGGCTGTGAGTCTTTCATAGTAGTCGCATGATCAGATTGTGCCAACTAGGTTGAAGGCCAAAGAACCAGACAGGATGCTGTTTGCTTGCTAGTATAGCTTTCTATCAGTTCGTATTTGTTTCATTTGGCTCTGGAGATCAGAATCAGGACTTGAACTGGGAGTGTCACAGCTAAATACAGGAAGGCAAAAGTCTATTGATCATCACTACATATTTGCCCACTGTATTTTTTATTTTTTTTTGTGGTGTGTAATGTGAGAATGATCTGAAGAATTTCCCCTGAGCCCCAAAAGCAGATTTATGGGCTGCATTAATGATAAAACAAAAATTTTCCATGTCAACTAATGATTCAATCATTTCGACTTATGCTTGCTCAATTCTCTTTTTTTGTAAGATATATAATTAAGTAACAAAATATCTATGATGTGATTTCATTAATCATTCTCATTTGTCCACTCTGTCCAGCCAAGAATAATTCAACCTTCACACCACACCTCACATATCTTCTTAGAAAGGATATCTTTCTTCTGTCTTTCTCCAAGATGTTGAAATTGTGATTTCCTTCTTCTGCATTAGAAGAGCATCTGGGTGGTTTGGGTTAATTTTGCTTTAGATAGCTCCTGTTTTTTCCTAATCTATACAGTTTATTGGAACACGGTGTATAGTCCAATTGTTTTCACGAGTTATTTTTGTGGTTGACAGGGAAATTTAGAGAAGAATTTAAAGCAGCATTTTCCTGTTGCATCTTTGGCATTCGCCGCCACCACGACGAACGGTAAGAGGTCGTGCCAGAAAGTCGGAAATCCTTGACCACCCAGATCAGCAATTTTGAGAACGTTTCCAAACTTTCAGAACACGTTGTATTGACCAACATAAACACCATTCCATCCAATGGTACTGCACCTATTATCCACTGTTAATATACTTGTCCCTATGTGTTTTGATCCTGTGGAAGTAAAATCTAATTGCACAGACAACAGCATTTGGATCTGAGCACCATGAATCCTTGACCACCCAGATCAGCAATTTTGAGAACGTTTCCAAACTTTCAGAACACGTTGTATTGACCAACATAAACACCATTCCATCCAATGGTACTGCACCTATTATCCACTGTTAATATACTTGTCCCTATGTGTTTTGATCCTGTGGAAGTAAAATCTAATTGCACAGACAACAGCATTTGGATCTGAGCACCATGAGAGAAGGGTGTGGACAAGTAAGAACTGACTGTAAGAAAAGTAAATGAAGTATTTTATAGGATATTCTACAACTTTGTTTATATATTGATGAAGCAAAATTGCACCACATTCATTTGTTGTGTTGCAGCTGAGGAGGAGGTAAAGAAATCATATTATATATAAATTTATTCTTTGGTCCCCTACTTCCTATCAAATCCTAAGTAAATAAAAAACAGGTACCAGAAAGTATGAAAATCATACTCTCTGCCATTGGAATGTGTTTATAAGCAGCTTTTTTTCTACTCTGAGCTAATGATTTGAAGTTGTGGCATAGTTTTATAGCAAATATTTTAACCAAAATTGAGTTGAACTACCTGAATATCCTTTACTATTTCAAATTGTGTGCTTGGCATGCATTCTGGTGTGAATTGGGCTGATTAAATAAGAAATTCACATTCATTTATTTTCCAACACTTTCTGTTCTTTTTCCTGTTGGGTAGGTTATTTGCATGTCTTCAGAAACAGCTGAGAAGCCACTTTTAACTTAGTATAGAAGGAATGAGGTATTTTTTTCCTCCCCCTCAATTCAGTAGTTTTGCCATTTCGATATGCACCCAGATGGCAGTGTGACTGTAGATTATGCTTTACCCTTAGTCTCTGATTTACCATAGAATTATAGAATCATCAAGGTTGGAGGAGATTTCTAAGGTCATTGAGTCCAACCATTAACCTGCCACTCTGCTGGAAGCCCTAAACCCTATACTAGATCCTCCAGTGTCAGATCCAGGTGCCTCTTTAACACTTCCAGGGATGGTGACTCCACCACCTCCCTGGGCAATATTCTATTCCAGTGGCATCATTCTCTTCACTCTGCCTGTCCTGTGTTCATGGCAGGGGAGTAAGACTAGATGGTCTTTAAAGATCTCTTCCAACCCAATCTATGATTCTATGATTGACATGTACACAGGAAGCTTTAGTGCTCTGCTGGTCACAGTGCCATGTGGTTAAGGAACCACAGGGCAATTTACTGAAGAGTGGATACTAAATAACTAGTAGAACACATTAAAATGTGTAAAAGTAAAGAAATTCAAGGTTTATGCATCAGAAATACCCTTAGACTTCAGTCAAGAAGTTTTCACTTAAATTTTGTAAATGCAATTTGGAACATTTTCTGGAAGACCATTTTGTTAATAGGTCATCCCCTGCATAGTGTCCAGAGAGTGACAGTCAGGGTGGGTCAGTCAGCTACCTGAAACAAACAGTAAAAGCATCTTCAAATCTTTATTTTCTCTACAGATATCCCAGCTATGCTCAGCCCATTGAAATCAGTGGAACTGCATCTCCACATACCAGGGATGAACGTGACTTCAAATTTAGATGAAGCTGTGAGGGTTTCTGCAGAAGACACTGCCAATACAGAGAATGCAGAGTGGGATAAATTCGTCCCTAGCATAACAAAACTTACCTCGATGGAGTTACAGCAAGGATGACTTTGGCTCAACACACATACGACCAGCAGAGTGACAGATGCTTTTAGCTGTGGTACAGACTCCAACAACTGGACAAAGGATTCCTACAAAATAACTGCCTCTCCTATTTCTTCTCAGTCTTACAGAAACCTACTTACCTCAGTATGAGCTAAAGAACATGTCTTTACAAGTCTTTTTAGAGATTGGATTGTATCATACTTTGTAAATACTGTAGATATTTATTTTTTTATATTTTAGATGCTGTGGAATGTTCTAAGATGTATCATATAAAGAAATCTAAGTATTTGAAAGAAGTCTCAACCATCATTTATTTATATCCTGTTTCTATAAATTAATGACTTATCTACAAGGAATGCTAACTGATGCACTAGTGATATCCTGGAATTACTTTGCACTTTTATTCTGCAAATGCCCTTGTAGTAAATTCTATGTTTATTATGAAGCTTTCACTTCAGATTGATTAGGGTCCATGTTACTTTTATAAGCACAGACATGCTTCTAAGATGTGAACCCAAAGTGCTGAAAGTCACACATGTTTTAATAAGACTACACTAAACAGCCTTTTTTCTTTGCTTTCAGACTTGAGTGCCTAAAATGTAACTATTTAAATCAAACTTATGTGATGTTTAAAGGTGCTATCAGCTCAAAATTCCTCCTCAGGCCAATAGGAATAACAAGGGTCTGCACCCCTGAAGGATGGAACATTTTAACTTTAGTAGCTCATTTTAGTCCATAATGTCTGCAAGTGTTGCTCCAGAAGATCCCTGAAGGTCTTTAAAGTAGAAAAGATTGGTTGCCTTTCATGTTTTAATGTTGTAATGATTTCTCTCTCAACTGCCATTTAATAGTAAAGATACGATCAATTAACAAATTTATATGCCTAGAAAATCCTTTTCAACAGTTGAAATAAAATGTTTATCTCTGGAAATGCTAGAGGTGATGCCTCACTGGACTGGTAGATAAAGTACTCACTCGTACATTGTCCATTTGTGGGAGAATCTCCCTGCCCTGGGGCATCCTACTGTGTATTGTAATTTTTCTTCTTAAAGGATGAAGATGATGCATCACTGGAGACTTATTCTGCTAGAGGAATGTGGCCTGTTGGTTAGAAAGAGGCTGATGATCCATGAGAACCTGAGAGACAATTTTCCTGTGGCACTACTCTTGCATTTCAGTTCAAAATGTTCAAAGGAAAGGGTAAGATGGAAGGGAGGACTTGTTTTGCACTAATAAGCATTTGACATGAAAGAAGAGAGTCTCACCTGTTCAAATGTTTCTAAAGAGCCAATTATCTATAGACTAGGTGTTATTTGATTAACTTATGTAAATATTTTTTCTAGGTTTTACTTTGACCTGATGCCATGCAATGTACTTTCTATCATGGCAGCTATAGTTTTATGAATAGCTTAATCACTTTATGCTTTAACCTTCCCCAACAGCTGTTTTCTTTGGCATTGTTGCAGTTACTCCTAGTTTACACTGGTGTAAAGTGAGAGGAAAAAAATTGCATTTATTTGTATATTAAAGTTTTCTATTCAAAGAGAAAAAGGAGAATATTCTTTTCCAATTTAAAAAAATAAAGCTGAGTATATAAATGGAAAGAATGTTTAAATATCAATAAAATAATAGGAATTTCTACATTCCTATGTGTAAGTTTAATTTTTGCTATTATGTCAATGTATTTCAGGAAATTATTTTACTTTGTCACTTCTAAGAAAGGAAATCCCAAATAACTGTGGAAAGTACAGCAGGACTGGATTTCATAGCTATTGCAATTCCTTTACCATCTGAAGGCTATTTTTGCTCTTCAACCACAGCAAATGTAGAATTCTTAGCATGGAACAAGATATATTTTTCTATATAATTTGAAGTGACTGAACAAACAGCTGCCGAATTAAAACTTTGAAGAAATGGGAAAATGGAATGTGAAAAGTCCTGTAAGTTTTTCCTTTGTTTTGATGCAAGTAAAGTCAAAAAGTTAAAAGCTAGGCCTTAATTTTCTCCTTTGTAAGAGAAAAGTGTCTCTTTTGTTCTCTATTTTCTCTTTTCTTATTTCCACTTAGATCTCCAAAATTAAAATATTCCAACATTGCTAGGAATTTCTTTTAGCCATAACTTTGACTTAACAGTACTTTTTATGTGGAGAAAGCAAATAAAAATGAGACATTCACTGACAAATGATTCTGGGGTTTTTGTCTGGACAGTTTTTGTTGAGTAAATAGAATATTTTTCAGACAGAAATGACACAATCAGGTCTATTCTATGGATAGCTAGAGATAGCTAACTAATTCTTGCCAAAGCTAAATATTAGTTGAATTTATCAAGCTAAAGATTTTGTTATTTTGATGAAAAGTTTTTCATTCAAAAGTTCCTAGATTTTATGAAATAAGTGGTTTTGATGCAAATATTCCTATGGTTTTATTTTAGCTTTACAAAATTTGAAAAACACATACACATTTTCTTTTTCAGCTCAGATATGTTTTCAGGTACCATTTCATATTGGAAAGACTTCATAGACATTTACAAATCTGTTGGTTACCTGTGTAAAGCAGTGGTAGGGTTGGGGTTTTTTCCAGTTTTAAGGACTACTCCAGAAAGATCCAAATATTTGGATACATTCAAAATAATAACCAGAGGTATTTCCTTTTTAATTAAAATAATCACTGGGAAAAATAAAGCCAATAATGATCTGTAGCTATTAATGGAGATGGAAATGGTTGTGAGAAGAGAGGGTAAGATTTTAAGAGCAATAAGGAAACTTTTTTGCCTGTTTCATGTGAAAGAAATCAAAGCATCTTAAAGGAACTTCTAGAGTTTGTAACCCTCAAAAAAAAGTCAGGTGATGGATGAGCATTTCTTATCCAGTGTATAAACAGTGTATCTGACAGCTGAGCCTTAATTGGGTTTTGTTACCTCTAGTTGTTTTGATATTCTATTTCTACTAGCAGCTCAGGAGCATAGAAATGATATTCTCATGCCACTGTTTCTGCCTGGCCACAGCAGCATTAAACATCCAGTTTAAATCACAACATATTTGTTCCTGTAGGTAGAAATTGTTGTGCCACCATCATTCTGGTACTTTATCTCTCAACGTATTTCACAGCCTTGGACGTCTGATCTCCTGACCTGTTTCTCCTTTCCTGTTGTCACTGTAGTGATAAGCTGGTGCCCTGCAGTCACAATGAGTGCAAGCTAATATCTCCTCCTCACCACCTCCAAAAAGAAACCTTTTTTTTTTTCCTTTTCTTCTGTTTGGATATTATCAAAATTGATATGAGTTATTAACCCAGAGAGTGCTTTGTAGGAAGGAGAGTACACTGAGGATTAGCTTAACTCTCCCATCACTGTATGATGTATTGCAACCTACTGCTGCATGTTACAATGGTTTAAGGCCAAGGCAAATGTAGCTTTCCAAACTGAAATATGTCTCACAACTAAAATGATATTCATCTCTCAGGCTGCTCTTTCCACTTCACAATAAGGTTTTTCCATGGCTGTTGGATATATTGGGTGAAATAATATATTATTTATTGAATGCTATTCTTTTAAAAAACAAACCCAAACCCACAAACAAATATTTAGCAATTTTGTCATTAAGAGTTTAAATAAATAATGCAATAAAATAGCTAGGCTAAAAATCTGTGTTAAAAATTAACTGTGTGCAAGATTGAATTTTCCTGAGCTAAACAAAGTAAAAGGAAAATCTGGACTGCCTGGCTCAAGTTTTGCCTTATCAATAGGGACAGGATTTCAACCACTATATCTCTCTCTTTGATAGATAAGCTGGAAGTTTCATAATATCTTTTTGGGTTTGAGAATTCAAGGACCAAATTTAGTTACATATGTTCAGTATGGGATAGGCCATTTGTGAAATGGAGAAATCAATAGGGACTTGTTGTTTCCTCCTCCTTCCAGTGCAAAAGCAAAGATCACACACTGAAGCCAGCAGGTGTGTGATTGCATCTTTATGGTTGATTTATTTTCTATTAAGTACCGAGTCAGCTGCTGACATTTGTGTGGCAAACTGGTTTTTGATGTGTTTTATTGAAACTCCTGCATCATAGAATCATAGAATCAACAGGGTTGGAAGAGACTTTAAAGATCAACAAGTCCAACCCTACCATCGTTACTAGACCATGGCACTAAGTGAAGCTAAACTCAGAGTGCAGTCTGGGTCCAGACTATAGATGAGCTATTTATTCCCCTGGTCTGCTGCCCAACATGTTCCATAGGTCTTCTCTCTCCTTAACAGATCACAACCCTATTCCACATCTGCGATGAAAACAAATTCACTTCTAAAATGTGTTGAAAAGCGCTGACAGAAGATAATCAGACGTAGCAACAGGCATTGCCAGGGGAGGTTTAGGTTGGATATTTGTAGCAACAGGCATTGCCAGGGGAGGGTTAGGTTGGATATTAGGAAGAGATTTTTTCCAGAGAGAGTGCTCAGGCATTGGAATGTGCTGCCCAGGGAGGTGGTGGATTTACCATCCCTGGAGGTTTTCAAGCTGAGACTGGATGTGGCACTTAGTGCCATGGGCTAGTGACCACGGGAGGGTTGGACTCAATGATCTTTGAGGTCTTTTCCAACCCAGCTGATTCCATGATTCTATGATTCGGTAATTTTCCAAAGAGCTTATAGGCAGCAGTCAAAGCCTTGATCTGTTAGTTCCTCTGGAAACCATGTGGCAACTGAATGCAGAGGGAGTGCACAATGACAGAGAACTACTTCTCACCTGGATGGAGTCTGGATTAGCAAGAAGACAACTGTAAGCAAAGGGTGTAACAATGGAAGCAAAGGAATCATAGAATCAACCTGGTTGGAAGAGACATCCAAGATCATCGAGTCCAACCCCACTGTGGTCACTAGCCCATGGCATTGAGGGC